CGAACATCACACTAGGAAGCAAAGAGACACCACACTTACCTAAACTAAATCCCCCAAAGGCATGCCCCCAATGACCCATCTCCTCTAGCCATACCTTACCTTTCAAATTTGGCATAGAAAAAACATCTTTTTAATTACACAACTTCACTCTTTCATTTACTACTGAATTAATGTGAACTTCTATTATAGAAAATGAAAAGCTCATTTATATTTTTTTAGAAATACTGAAAATATTTAATATTATATACCTATAATACCTAGTAGTAGTTACAGTATAGATAAAAATTATTTGTGGTTCTCTTATATCTATAGATTTGAGTTTAAGTGGACAATCTAGTAAGTATGAAGTATGAAAAAAATTATGTTAATTTTTTTCCTCTTTGTTTTCCATGATTTCTGCAGAGGCAGTGGGTGTGACCAGCCAACGACCAGTGTTTTGCCCTTTTCATAAAAAGGAGCAATTGAAGCTTTATTGTGAGACGTGTGACAAACTGACATGTCGGGACTGTCAACTGCTAGAGCACAAGGAGCATAGGTACTAGCACTATTCATTATGGAGAGATTTATAATAAAGTTCTATGTGGACTTGAGAACTGCTGTCACCTCAGCTAAATGGCAGTCTGCAAAGTGGTATGCTGGCCTGTACCATAGCTTATCTACTTTGGCATTATTGGCATTTTGAGCTAGATAATTCTTTGTTTTGGGGAATGTCATACATTGTGTGGGGTTTAGCAGCAAACATCCTTGACCTCTAACAATTAGTTGCCACTGCACCCCACATCCTTCCCTAGTCATTACAATTTAAAAATATCTCTAGATATGTAACACAATCACCCTGAGTGAGAAACTCTAGTTCAGACTCTGTTTTAGAACATGTGAAATTAGTTATAGGTGTTATAAAATTAGGATATTTTCTATTTAAAAAATAAATCTAGATTTCTGGTTTCATTTAAGGAATAACTGTTGTAGCCCTAAATTCATATACTTTCACGCCAGCATTTAGCTGAAATTAACTTTAGTGCTCTTCAGAATAAGACATGCCATTTCTGGTTCATTGTAGATCTTACCAAAGCTTACTTTCACATCTAACCTGCATAGGCACGTGAGTTAGCAACAGCTGATTTGAACAGTAACACTCAGATTAGTTGACACATGTATTGTTGCCTATAATGGTCCAAATTTCCCATAATGGAAGTCTGGATAATTTGGAGCAAGCATACCAATAAAGATCAGGAGAAAAGCTGGGTAAAATCCAGAAATTATCTATAAGAAATTTCAGATATAATCAAGTAGTAAAGAATTATTGTATCAGGATTTGGTTGAAAATAGGGGCAGAGGATTGCAGAGACTTTTTTTTACCTCTTGAGATATTTGCCTAGAGGTTGAGATAATTTTAATATACTCTCAGGGCTGAGAAGTGAGGGATTTGAGTTCAGGTTCATAAGGAGTAAAAGCTTCCTCTTGCCTTGAGTTGGGACCCTTATAGTAATGATCAATTAGCTAGTGAGCAGCACCTCACATTAAATTAATATGAAATCTTATTGTGATGTCCGAAAGCACCTATCAGAATCAAATGTGAATCCTCCCTAGAAAAGGAAAATATTCTAGGCTTCAAACTTATTTGGGTAATGAATTTTATAAAATGTTATTCTGTATATAGTTAGAAATAGCCAGCTATGTTTGATTAGACATTGTAAATGAAACCTAGATATAACAAAGAATAAAAAGACCCACAGTTCTGCATCATACGTTCAAAATGGTAAAAGACAAAATAGTTTGGGTGTAGTATTTCAGGGGTGTATAAAAGATGGTGGAATGAGATGGACACCATTACCCTAAATACATGTATGAAGACACGAGTGGTGTGAATATACTTTGTATACATCCAGAGATATGAAAAATTATGCTCTATATGTGTAATACGGATTGTAATGCATTCTGCTGTCATATATAACAAATTAGAATAAAAATTAAAATTAAAAACTATAAAAAGAAAGCAAAATGGAAAGTATAGAACAGAAAATTACAGTGACTGAAATTAATTCAATAGAAGTTTGTACAGCAGATTTGACATAGCAGGAAATGAGAATTTTTGAACTAAAAATTAAGAAAATATCTAGAATGAAGCATGGTAAACAAAAGAATGAAACATAGAAGAAAGTTTTCAATATAGATGTAATTGCAATCCAAGTAGGAAAGAAAAGAATGGGAAGGAAGCAGTACTTGAGAAAATAATGAAATGGCTGAGAATTTGCAAGTACTCATGAAAGACATCTAGTTCATATTCAAGAAGTCTTACAATACCCAGCAGGATTATTAAGAAAGTAATACTTTTGGGCTGGGGCTGTAGCTTAGTTGTAAAGTGCTTGCCTTGTATGTGTGAGGCACTGGATTCGATCTTCAGCACCACATAAAAAATAAATAAAGATTACTATGTGTTCATCTACAACTAAATAAATATTAAAAAAAGAAAGAAACTAACATTTTTAAACTATAGAAAGAATTACTGCAAATCTGAAGTTCTATCCCCAGTGTGCATATTTTTTTAAAAAATGAATGAGAGATTTTCATATTTTCTTACTAAATACACTTAGAGAATCTATCTCTAGTAAACCCTCACTAAAGTACCCCTTTAGGTAAATAAATAACAGTAGGAGATGCACAAAGAAAAAAGTAATAGATATGAGTAAAGCTAAATGAATATTGACCTAGGAAACAATGTCTTAGTTTATGGTATATGTGTGTATCATGTGTGTTACACAGACATGTTAGGAGACATGGAGTCTAGGAAAAATGTAAAAAGTACGGATTAATATTAGATGATGGTAAGTTTAGATATACATTTTGTAATGTCTAGGATAGTCACTAGAAGAATAGTAAAAAACATATGAAGGGGTCCAAGGTTATAGAGTAATCCATCAGTCTAAACTAGGCTACCAAAGTAAGACAAAGCAACAAAGATTAAGTGGGTTCAAATAAGGTCTTGGTAATTGGTACATCTGCAGATACATTCATATTTATATCAAATCTTTTTTTTTTAAAGAGAGAGAGAGAGAGAGAGAGAGAAAGAGAGAGAATTTTATTTTTAATATTTATTTTTTAGTTCTCGGCGGACACAACATCTTTGTTGGTATGTGGTGCTGAGGATCGAACCCGGGCCGCACGCACGCCAGGCGAGTGCGCTACCAGTTGAGCCACAACCCCAGCCCTATATCAAATCTTAACGCATAAAATGTTCCAAATTATCAAACAATTTTAGTCTAGATAAGAAACAAAGTAGAAAAATTCGCTATTTTGTTTTTTTATGGCACTTGGGGTCAAACTCAGGGCCTTAAGGAGCTACATCCTCAGATGCTTCTGCTATGTGCTTTTTATGAGAAATATCTAAATCCTGAGCAAATAAAAAGATTAATAGGAAAAGATACGTCATACAGATACTAACCAAAGGCAAGCTGATGTAGCAGACAAAATATATTATTTTAGATTAAAAGGGAAGCTTTATGAAGATAAAAGGCTTAATTTAAAAGATACAACAGCTCTAAATTTATGTGCATCATAAACTTAAAATGACAGAACTTTAAACTGGTAAGTACATAGAGTGGAAAATTTTAATATATGTTCCAAAGTATATTAAATACATAACTGACAAAATAAGACTAAAAATCAATAAAGAACATGTCAGTAAGATTAAAATAACAGAATTAGCAAATGAAGTTATGGAGATTATGAAAACTATACTGAGTGATACACATTCTTTTCAAACATACAAAGAAAAAATTTTAATTGACCATATTACTAAGCAAAGTATGAAATGTCAAAGGATTGAAATCCTGCAAAATAACTTGTATAACCCAATAGAATTAATCTAGAAAACAACAGTAGAAGAGAAAAAAACTGTACTTTTGGAAGAGAAGAAATGGAATATGAAAATTAAATGTTCTGATAAATGATCATGAAGTATCCTAGAAAGAAAAAGGTCTAGAAGATACTGAGACAAATGACATATATGGGATATAGTCTAAAAGGGTACATGACTTACGAACATCAGTTTTCTTGAATTTAATAACTAATATTATTAGATAAGAGAACATTCTTGTTTTTAGGAAACACACTGAATTATGTGGCTAAAGGGCAAAATTTGAAAAATAGATCTTGGAACTCTTACATATTTCATTTTGAAATTATTTCAGAATAAATCATTAATAATTAACTAAATCACCAAAGAAATCCTAACAGATATTAGAAAATATTTTTATCTAATTATCAACCAAGCCTTAAGTTTTATAGCTAAATCCATCATTAGAAAGAAACTTTCAGAACTGTTAAATGATGAAATAGTTAATAGTTAATAAATCTTATTTTTTGCCAGATCTGCCCAATGTGCTCTGTAAGCCTTTAAAACTATTAGTGATGGATGTGTATCTTTCTTAAACTTAAGAAATAACTTTAAGAATGTCCATAAACATTATCTATCAATATCCTTCTTAAGGAATAATATGAGAGAAAGGGGAAAACCTGCCTTACAGGGTTGTATTTGGTACTTTTTAAAGATTATTATTTATATTCTTTATAATCTTAATTTTTTATTACTCATTTTTTTTACATTTGGACTTCCCCTCATTTTATACATATATTTGTTTGAAATAATTTGCCTATTTACTTATTTCTTCAGATATCAATTTATAGAAGAAGCTTTTCAAAATCAGAAAGTGATCATAGATACACTAATCACCAAACTGATGGAAAAAACAAAATACATTAAATACACAGGAAATCAGATCCAAAACAGGTAAATTTGCACTTATGGTATTATACTAAATCATTTTTATATGTTAAGTGTATTCACATTTAAGAGAACATTTTTCTTAACTCATTGTGAAGCAATTAGTAAGCTATCAGATGACTCAATTTTTTTCTGGAAACTTTGGGTTAGAAAGCATTTTTTTCAGCTATGAATTTTTTTAAACTAATGTGTTAATAAAATAAGTAGTAATAACTTATTTATCTGGTAGGTATTAATAATTTATAATTATTTGGTATTTTCCAATTTAAAGATATGCCAAGATTTAAAAACAAAATCAACTATTTTTTCCAGCATTATAAAATATTTAAATAGTTGATTATATACTCAATTGCTGTTTTAAGGTTTGCTAAAATTTGGGATACCCTCCCCTAAGGCTATGATCTTTAATTGCAAAGGGGTAGAAATTTTAGGACACTGAGACAGGAATTGTTAAACATACCTTTTATTCCTTGTCTAATACAATATGCAAACAGTTTCTAGGTATTACTTGTTATGCCTTTTATCCTCCAAAGAAGGAAATCAAATGTCCAAAGGCTTACATCTTAGAATTTAGCAATTGGGTAGCAAACAACTAACTCTTTGTAAGAAAGGGGGTTGTCTCACCACTTTTTTTTTTTAATCCCATGTAGGGCATGTAATGACATTTAATTAACACTTTAACACACTTGTGAAATCCCATGTCCTCTTTCTTTTGTTGTTTAACATACAAAAGTAACATGCCACTGCCTAAATAGGTCAAGAAATGCCAAATGGAAAGAACCCGAACAAAAGAGGCCAGGCAGGGGCTTTGAATATTGTTCACTGGGAAAATTGTGTCAGCCTTTGGGGTTCATCTTGTCAAGACTCATCATAATTTTCTGTCATTCTTATCATTTTGGAACATAGTTAAGGGTGGAGGAGCATTTGGAAAAAAATTTTTAGGTAATTTATTGTATTATCAGATTTCTTTAAAAGAGATTCTTAAATATGACTTTTCTTTTCTTGATGTTCCAGTATTATTATTACATAATTATTATATATTATATACATTGTTTTATATTGTGAGTCTTTTTTTTAGTTTTTCTTACTCCTCTTTATCAGCTCTTTTTTCTTTAACCTTTCTCTTTTCATGTAACAACTCTTTAACCAAAGAGTAGTTCTTTTTTCTAAAAGTGCTTTAGAATATACTGTTCTAATCAGGATAATATATTTTACCAAATAGAATATTGGTAGGTTTTTAATTTTTTGATTCTGAGTAACTGAAAATTTATAATGAACATTTACTAAACGAACCAGGGAAGATAATTGTAGACATTTCTACCATCTAGTGGCAAAAAGTAGTCATATAAAATAATTTAGTAAAAGAGCTACCCTTACTGCGATTTACCCTTTTGACTTTTTTCTCTCTCTTCCACTGTGTCTATGTTATGAGCTATGGGTCAGGATACCTTTCTTTTTTTTTAAACATGTGGTGGTCCATTCTTCCAACATCATTTGTTGAAAAGACTACCCTATCTCTATTGAATTGCCTTGGCACCTTTGTGGAAAATCAATTAACCATGTAAGTGTGGGGTTATTTCTTAACTGTGCTCTGTTCCATTGATTGTGTTCTCCTTTTTTCTTTTTTTGCCAATACTCAACTTTCATTTTTATAATGTCATGAAATCAGGTAGTGTGAGTTCTTCAAATATGTTTTTACTTTTCTTTTTTAGTGATTTATGCAATTCTGTTTTTTAACAAAATAATAGCATTCTTATATGTCAAGATGTTAGCCTCTGAAATGTAAAAATTTAAAGAATCTTCATTATTAATGTACTGATTACTTGCATTTCTTTATAGCCTATCTGATTTTAGAAGGATTAAATTACCACACTAATTTTGCTATTAACTCATTTTTATGTGTTTGTAAACATGTCTGTTTTCCCCTTATTTATACATTCTACCATCAGAAAGATTTAAATGAGTTGTTTTTTGTTTTTGTTTTTGTTTTTGTTTTTTGAGATTGGTTGCTTCATAGGCTTATATAGGTCTCTTAATCCTATAGCTAAGTTGATATTAAACAATTTATCTTGAAGAATGTTCAACAGAGAATAATATCTCCACCATTTTGGTTTTAAAATGAGAAGTATAGTATGGGATAAACAGGAGAGATAAAGCTTTTTATTTAATTTCATAAAGTTTGATATTTAACTTACTGTTCTTTTCTACTTCTGTAAAATATTCTGGTGTGATGCTGTATGTTTTTTTTCTATTTCATCTCCATGAGATCACATTCCCACTCTTTCAAATTGAAGGAAGAAAAGTATTTGATTGATGAAACATAACATAGTTATTTGACTGTTTAGTTATTCAAGATAAATATGTTTTGTAAGAAGTAGCGAAGATTTTTTTTTTTTTTTTGCTTTCATTCAGATATAATGAATACTTCAGCAGTTCAGAAGTCTAAGGTCAGAGTATTGTATTTATACTTTTCTACCTCTTAGTTGCAGTGAGCATGACAAAACTAGTTCAGTCATAGTTTCTTTATCATGTTTATAAATCCTAGTTTTAGTCCAATCCCTCCCTACCCCATCCTTTTAGGTAGTTAGAGTATTGATTTTCCTGGATATCATAATCTTTCCAAATAACATTCTCCTAAAATGTGCTCATTCTCTTCTAATTTTGAGTATTTTGCTTTTAAGATCAAACTGAATGACTTGTTATCTTTCAGAATTTAATTTCATTGTCATCTTCAGGACAGTTGATTTTAAATGGAAGGACTCAGCTGGGCATGGTGGCACCTGCCCATGATCCAGAGACTTGAGAGGCTGAGGCAGGAAGTTTAGCAAGTTTGAGACCAGCCTTAGCACCTTAGTGAGAGCCCCAGCAACTTAGCCGAGACCCTGCCTAAGATTAAAAAATAAAAAAAGGTTGGGAATGTAGTTCAGTGGTAAAGCACCCTGGGTTTGAACCCTATTACCAAAAAATAAATACATGAGTAAAAATAAATAAATGGAAGGACTCAGAGATGGATCTTTAAAGGGCTGAAAACATTTTGGTTTAATTTAGATATTAAAATATAAATTTTGAATATTGTAAAAAAAAATCTGCCTTAAGTTTTAGATTTTTTTCCTTCATTTAATTTTCAGAATAATTGAAGTAAATCAAAATCAAAAGCAGGTGGAACAGGATATTAAAGTTGCTATCTTTACATTGATGGTAGAAATAAATAAAAAAGGAAAAGCTCTGCTGCATCAGCTAGAGGTAAGTTACTAGAGGGGACAGTATGTTGTGATTCAACAAAATTTTCTAATGTATGTGAATTTGAAATCATAGTCCTTTTGTAATTGTTTCCATTTACAATTTGATAACATCTCTTCCCCAATCCTAATTTTCCTTTGACAGATTCTGTATTGTCTATTTATAGTTTTATAATACACTGGGAATGTTTTACTCCTCATTGTTTGCTTCATAGCATAAATGTAAGCCTTGCTCATAGGAGGAATGTTGAAGAGATGGGCCATTTTACAAATTCACTGAAGTGATAACTTTGTATCACCAAAGTGGCAGAGTTCAACAAATTTTTCTAGGAAGATAACACTGGGAGTTATATACACTCATGCCCTACATGGTGATGCTTCTGTCAACAATGATGAGTTAGTCAGCTTTCCATCACTGTGATAGAATACCTGAGAAAATTAAGTTAAAGGAGGAAAGGTTTGTTTGAGCTCATTGTTGAAGAAGTTTCAGTCCATTGGTTTCTTGGCCCCATCATATGGGCCCACGGTGAGGCAGAACATCATGGCAAAGCATGATGTAAAGGAGTGCTGCTCACCTCATGGCTGCCAGGAAGCAACGACAGAGGAAGAGGCCTGGGTCCCAATATATCCTTCAAAGGTATATCCCTAGTGCCCTTCCTCCAACTAGACCCCACCACCCTATAGTGCCACCAGCTATGGACTTTTTGGGAACATTCCATGTCCAAATTATAACAAACAGACTACATACATAACAGTGGTCCCATAAGATTATTTGTGTAAGTGTACCCTGAGATGTTCGCCCAATGAGGAAATTGCTTAATGATGTTTCATATGGTGTATCCTATTTTTCAACAGTGCATAACAGTTCGTATTTAACCCTGTGAGAAATTAAGTAAATTATTGTGGCTCCTACCCTCAACATTTTGTAGTATTAATATGAAAGCATCACCTAGGAAGTGATGTTCAAGGCAACTAGGATAGTTGTTTCTAACTGCAGTTAAGAAAAATATTACTATCTTCATCAGCTTTTTTTAAACTCATGAAGGTCAATATCCAAAGTCGGTGCTTGACATCAAATAATATGAGATAACAACTTGTACATTGTATTTTAAGGTATAATATTAATTGCATCATTTTGAGGTATTCTTTAATATATTGATGCAGAAAGAATTCACAGTCAAGAAGCAATTTAGGATGAGAATTAAAGAATCCTAACATTAGCAGAGTTAAAGAAAATTAAGATTTCTAGAAATAATAAGTTCAACCTCTTTATTTCATAGTTGATCAAGTTTAAGTTCTCTGTTAGAAAGTTCTTGCTTGAAAGTCTAGTCATTTCCATGTTTTATCAACCAGTCCCATGAAACAAAGACTAAAATAATTCTCTGCTTTTTAGGAATAAGTTATTTGGTTAGGAAATGTTTTGAGCAGAAGGAATCAGACCCCCTTTGTAGTAACTATGTTTTTAAGTCTTTGCAATTTGTATATAAATTTTTAAAAACCCACATTTTATCAAAATTGGAAGTATTCAAAGCTCTACTTAATAAACATCACTTTGATTTGCTTCCCCAGGTATTAGTAATGCACATATTGCTGTTCCCAAGCTTTATTGTATATTAGAATCATTTGAAGAACTTTAAAATAACCAACCCTTGAATCTATAAAAATGAATCTGGTCATCAATATTATTTTTAATCAGTCTTTACTTGTAATTTTTACGGCACCTTTTAAAAATGCCTCTATTCCTCATAACAATTTTCCTGGTTCAGAGTTCTCCTTAAAGGCAAATAAATTTAACCAATTTTATTTGCTAAAGTCCAAACAGTTATTACCATAGAAGACCAAGACACTAGGGCTTCTTCTTAATTTGCAACCTCCTCAAAAGTCAACAAATTTCTATTTCTACTAGAATGTTTCCAAAGAAACACTTAGGTCTCACAGAGGTCAGAAATAGTCTAAAAGGTAAGTCATCTTCTCTTTAAGCTTAAATTAGATATGGCAAAGCCATTGCCTGTTAACAGTCCTTCAATAGCTAAAAAATGCAGTTTTTATTGAGAACATAGGTACATGTTGAAATATAGCAGTTTTACTTTTAAACTTTTCTAATTTGAGTTAGTAGGAAGCCCTGTTTATTCCCCTTTCTTTGCTAGGATGAGAATGAGGTTTTGTAAGGGACTGGCGAAACGTCGGAGGAAGAGACCACCAAGAGACCACTCATGCAATTAGCAGAAGGGGATTTATTGATCCAGCATGCTGGGGCTCCGTGCCCACTCAAGAAGGGAGAGCAGCCCAGAGCCCAGAGCAGGGGTTGAACAATGCTTAAGTACATTTTTTGGGGAGGGCAGGGACTTTACACACATCACAGTCTCCTTTAACAAATCACCATACACCACGGGAAAATCAAACAATAATTCTTAGACTTGATTAGTACATTCATTGGCGGGAACAGGGCTGGCTAGAGTGATAGGTCATTCCTAAGGAGGGGGTTACATTTAAACTGATTGGTTCGGGCCCTGAATGCCTACGTGACAAGCTGCACAGGGTCTTGAATGCTTACGTGACAAGCTACACAGGGTCCTAGGCTATAAATCAACTAAATGGCCAGTAGGGCATTGTCTTAACTGCCTCAGGAATCTAACCCAGGCTTTGCAGTTTAGAAGCAGGTTTACAATGCCTGGTTCTTTACATTTTAACTCGGGCTTTGCAGCTTAGAAACTTTACCCTTTCAGTTTTTGGATGGACCTTTAAAATAATCCAAGTTTAGTGCTCTCCACTTTAGAATACCCTGTTTTCTAAAGGCAGTATGTATTTTCCTTACAGAAATTCTGTATTCTGCTTTTATGTAGCTTTATAAAAGTGCATTAACACAATTATCCACTGTATGTTTTGGATCCCATGGTAATTCTCAGTAGACAGAAATGATATCATGCCTGTTTTAATCAGCTTTTTTGCTGCTATGACCAAAAAACCTGATAAGAACAATTAGAGGAGAAAAAGTTTATTTGGGGGCTCATGATTTCAGAGGTCTCAGTCTATAGATAGCTGACTCTCTTCCCCAGGGCTCCAGGTGAGGAATAGCAGCATGGTGGAAGGGTGTGACAGAGGGAAGCAGCTCAGGACATCACACCAGAAAACAGGGAAAGAGACTCTCCTCACCATGGACAAAATATAAACCCCCAAGGCATGCCCCCAATGACTTACTTCCTCCAGCCCCACCCTACCTGTCTATAGTTACCACCCAGTTAATCCCTGTCAGGGATTAATTGATTATATCAAGATGCTCATAACCTGATTCATCTCTAAATTTTGTTGCCTTACTCACACAAGCTTTTAGGGGACACCTCATATGTAAACCATAACAATGCCTTTCTAAATATTAATACTACATCCAAAGGAGAAGTGTTATTTACCACACTTCATTATTCTGAGCACAAACTAGTTTCAGGTGGGACTAGAATACCTAAACGGTAAGATCATATCATTGATAAAATCATTCTATATTCTGCTTTTATGTAGCTTTATAAAAGTGCATTAACACAATTATCCACTGTATGTATTGGATCATTAAATTGCTTAATAGTACATCTATTTCATTTGTAAATTTTGAACTTAATATTGTGTATATTATAGCTAATGCATGCTTTTGTCCTTTTGTGTATTTGGCGGATGCATTAACAGAGATCTAAAGCCCAGAATATGTAAAGCCAAACCCAGGGGATAAGGGCTGGAGACAATTTATGAGATATGGTTTTTGTTTGTTTGTTTGTTCCAGTGAGAGTGATCTTTTGTACTAAGGAAAAAAATACTAAGAGTATTTTCAACTGCTATCAGTTGGTATATTTAGAGGGCAGTTATTCTCATTTGCTTATCTAAAAATGTCCTTTGAAATAAATGTTAAGTGCAGAAAATAATTTGAAATTATTTCCTTCTTTTCAGAGCCTTGCAAAGGATCATAGAATGAAACTTATGCAACAACAACAGGAAGTAGCTGGACTTTCTAAGCAGTTGGAACATGTCATGCATTTTTCTAAATGGGCAGTTTCCAGTGGCAGCAGTACAGCATTACTTTATAGCAAGCGATTGGTAAGATAAAGTATGGTATTTGACGTTTGTAAAAGTGTGTAGTAAACAAGAGTCATTGGACTGCTTGAAATTCATAAATGAGCCTTGTGTGATATTGTGCACTTGCAGTCCCAGCTACTCAGGAGGCTGAAATTCAATGTGATTTACCTATTTCTAATTTTAAGTGACCAAAATATCTTGGTTTTTAAAAATATTTTTAACTGGCACAATTTAGGTATGACTTCAATTTTAACCTACTAGATCACTCCTATTTTTTTCCCAACTTTTCACTGTTTTCATAGCAATTAAACTTAATACAAATAATAATGTTAATAAATAATGATAGTAAACATTCACTGATCATCTGTAGCAAGCCAGGATCTAATTCTAAGCATTTTTATGCAATATTTAAACTTTTACATCATTCTTATGTGATAGATACACCTATCCATTCCCATTATACAAATGATGAAACCAAGGAATAGAGTTACATATGACTAATATCACCCAGTTAAGAGGTGTTACTAAGCATCAAATTACAGTGTCAGACCGCCAGGGCCCCATCTCTACTCTGGGTCCTGGCTGTTAATTAAGGGAAATACTGTAGGAGTGATAGGAGATAAAGAAAAGACAGACACACACACATAGGGAGAAAAAGCTGGGGCCAGATTGGTAGCCAAGTGGTAGCCAAGTCTCACCGCCAAGTGAGGGGTGACAGACTGGTGACTGACTCAGAGCTAGCTCAGAAAGTTTATTTGATAATTTTCATCATTAAACGGTTAATTGTGGCCGGGCACAGTGGTGCATGCCTATAATCTTAAAAGTTTGGGAAGCTGAGGCAGGAGGATTGAGAGCCAGCCTCAGCAAAAGCAAGGTGCTAAGCAACTCAGTGAGACCCTGTCTGTAAATAAAATACAAAATAGGGCTGGGGATGGGGCTCAGTGGTCAAGTGCCTCTGAGTTCAATCCCTGATTAATCAGAGATACCACCCTGCCCCCAATTTTTTTTAAAAAAAGTTCAATTATGGGAAAGTTTCAGCAAAGCAGAGTCTGAAGGATGCAGAACTCGCAAGATAGTAGGGTTATCATCTTGTTTTGCTCAGAATCTTCTATCTGCTGAACTCAAGTCTTCGACTGATAGAGCCTCGAGCCTTCACACATGACGCTTCTGGCCAGTTTACCATATAACCGGGCCATTTTTGTTTAAATTTATTTGTTCTAATCAGTTATACATGACAGAAGAACGCTCTTCGATTCACTGTACACAAATGAAGCACAATTTTTTACTTCTGGTTGTACACGAAGTAGGATCACACCATTTGTGCAATCATATATGTACCCTAGGGTAATGATGTCTTTCTCATTCCACCATCTCTCTTGCTCCCATGCCCATTTTCCCCCTTCCCTTTGCTCAATCCAGAGTTCTTCAACTCATCCCATGCCCCACCATTATGGATTAGCATCCACTTAGAGAAAACATTCGGCCTTTGGATTTGGGGGATTGGCTTACTTCATTTAGCACGATATTCTCCAATTCGATCCATTTACCTGCAAATGCCCTGATTTTATTCTCTTTTATCGCTGAGTTATATTCCATTGCGCATATACCACAGTTTCCTTATCCATTTATCTATTGAAGGCCATCTAGGTTGGTTCCACAGTTGAGCTATTATGAATTGTGCTGCTATAAAAATTTATGTGGCTGTGTCAATGTAGTATGCAGTTTTTAACTCCTTTGGGTATAGACCAAGGAGAGGGATAGCTTGTTCAAATGGTGGTTCCATTCCCAATTTTCCAAGGATTTTCCATACTGCTTTCCATATTGGCTGCACCAATTTGCAGTCTCACCAGCAATGAATGAGTGTGCCTCTTCCCCCATATCCTTGCCAACACTTAGTGTTTCTTGTATTCTTGATAACTACCATTCTGACTGGAGTGAGATGAAATCTTAGAGTAGTTTTGATTTGCATTTCTCTGATTACTAGAGATGTTGAACGTTTTTTGATATATTTGTTGATTGATTATATATCTTCTGAGAAGTGTCTCTTCAGTTTCTTAGCCCATTTATTGATTGGGTTTTTTGGTTTTGTGGTGCTTTTTGAGTTCTTTATATATTGGAGATTAGTACTCTATCTGATATTCATGTGGCAAAATTTTGCTCCTACACTGTAGGCTCTCTCTTCAGCTCATTGATTGTTTTCTTTTGCAGAGAAGAAGCATTTTAGTTTAAATTTATTCCTTCTTGATTTATTTCTTACACTTTAGGAGTCTTGTTAAGGAAATCAGGGCCCAATCCGACATGATGAAGATTTGGGCCTACTTTTTCCTCTGTTAGACTCAGTGTCTCTGGTCTAATTCCTAGGTCCTTGAGCCACATTGAGTTTTGTGCATGATGAGAAATAGGGGATTAACTTTATTTTGCTGTATATGGGTTTCCAGTTTATTGAGCCCCATTTTTTGAAGAGCTTTCTTCAGTGTATGTTTTGGACACCTTTGTCTAGAATGAGATAACTATTTATATGAGTTTGTCTCTATGTCTTCTGTTCTGTACCATTGGTCTACATGTCTGTTTTGGTGCTAATACCATGCTGTTTTTGTTACTATGGCTCTAGAGGGTAGTTTAAGGTCTGGTATTTTAATGCCTCCTGCTTCACTCTTCTTGCTAAGGATTGCTTTGGCTCTTGTGGGTCTCTTATTTATCCAAATGAATTTCATGACACCTTTTCTATTTCTATGAGGTATGAAATTGGGATTTAAATTGGTATCGCATTGAGTCTGTATAGTGCTTTTGGTAGCTTGGCCTTTTTGACAACATTAATTCTGTGTATTCAAGAGCATGAAAGGTCTTTCCGTCTTCTAAGGTCTTCTTTAATTTCTTTCTTTAGTGTTCTATAGTTTTTCTTGTAGAGGTATTTCACCTCTTTTGTTAATTGATTCCCAAGTATTTTATTCTTTTTGAGACTATTGTGAATGGGATGGTTTTCCTAATTTCTCTTTCAGAGGATTCATCACTGATATATAGAAATGCATTTGATTTATGGGTATTGATTTTATATCCTGCTACTTTGCTGAATGCGTTTATTAATTCTAGAAGTTTTCTGGTGGAATTTTTTGGATTCTCTACATATAAAATCATGTCATCAGCAAATAATGATAGTTTGAGTTCTTCTTTTCTTATTTGTATTCCTTTAATTTTTTTCATCTAATTGCTCTAGCTGGAATTTCGAAGACTTTGTTAAATAAAAGTAGTGAAAGAGGGCAAACCCTGTCTTGTTCCAGTTTTTACAGGGAATGCTTCCAGTTTCTGTCCATTTAGAATGATGATGGCATTGGGTTTAGCATAGATAGCTTTTATAATGTTGAGGTATGTTCCTAGTTTTTCTAGTGTTTTGAACATGGAAGTATTTTGTCAAATACTTTCTCTGGATCTATTGATATAATCATATAATTTTTATCTTTGAGTCTCTTGATGTGGTGAATTATGTTTATTGATTTCCGTATGTTGAACCAACCTTGCATCCGTGGGATGAACCCCACTTGATCATGGTGCACTATCTTTTTAATATGTTTTTGTATGAAATTTGCCAGAATTTTATTAAGATTTTTTTGTGTCTGTGTTCATCAAGGATATTGGTCTGAAGTTTTCTTTCCTTGATGAGTCTTTGTCTGGCTTTGGTATTGGGGTGATACTAGCTTTGTAGAATGAGTCTGGAAGGATTTCCTGCTTTTCTATTTCGTGGAATAATTGAATATTGGTATTAATTCTTCTCTGAAGGTCTTGTAGAACTTGGCTGAGAATCCATCTGGTCCTGAGCTTTTCTTGGTTGGTAGACTTTTGATGGTGTCTTCTCTTTCCTTGCTTGAAATTCATTTATTTAAATTGTGTATGTCCTCCTGATTCAGTTTGGCTAGATCATATGCCTCTAGAAATTTGTTGGTGGCTTCAGGATTTTGTATTTTACTGGAGTATAAATTTTCAAAATAGTTTATAATTACCTTCTGTATATCAGTGGTGTCTGTCATGACGTTTCCTTTTTCACCACAAATTTTAGTAATTTCCATTTTCTTTCTCTTTTCCTTAGGATGTTAAGGGGTTTATCAATTTTATTTATTTTTTCAAAGAACCAGCTTTTTGTTTTGTTTATTTTTTGATTTTTTTTTTCAATTTCATTGATTTCCACCCTGATTTTAATTGTTTCCTGTCTTCAACTGCTTCTGGTGTTGATTTGTTCTTCTTTTTCTAGGGCTTTGAGATGTAATGTCAGGTTGTTTATTTCTTGATGTTTGTTTTCTTTTTTTAATGAAAGAGCTTAATGCAATGAACTTTCCTCTTAGCGCTGCCTTCATAGTGTCATAACTGGCCATTTTGACCTACATCTTCGCACAAGCAGCTTCTAGCGCAAATAACAGCCAGGAGAGAGTCAGAGGCCATGATTTCATTTGCCGCTCTCCATATCAAACCAGACTCCAGAGTCTGTGTTCCTCTCCTTAGTACTATACTACAGTACATGATACTGGATATTTCTACCCTGTTTGGCGATTTTTTTTTTGTTGGTGTTTGTTTTCCTTTTTTCTTTCTGTGCTAGGAATTGAACCCAAGGCATAACACATGCAAGCCAAGCACCTCACTACTGAGCTCTCAGTGAATTTTTAAATTTTTATTAATTATTAATGGACCTTTATTCATTCATTTGTTTATATGTGGTGCTGAGAATTGAACCCAGTGCCTCTCAAAAGCTAGGCAAGCGCTCTACCGTGAGCCACAACCCCAGCCCTTCACTGAACTATCTTAACAGTAGTCTAGTATGTCACTTCATTTGAATCACTTGGCTATGCCTGTTGAGTACTGCTGGCATGGGACCAGATTTTGCATTTCTAATAAGCCAAGATTATGCTGATGCTGCTCATCTGTGGACCATGCTTTGAGGATCTAGAAGACATTTAGCCATTTAAAGTCAAGCCATATAAATGTTCTTAAAAATTTCTACTTTAGTCTTTTTTTATTTTTTGAAAATGTATAAC